CTACATGTTCCAAAGAGAAGCAGGTGCAGAAACAACACAAATTCTAAATACAGGTAACCCAGAACCCTTTCTAACACCTTTGAAAGTAAATTTTACATGTTTAAAAACCTCTATTCTTCTAGGGCCGGGTATGTAGCTTACTCGGCAGAATGCTTAGCTAGCACCACACAGAAACAGCACATATCATCCTCAGCTACTCAGTGAGCTCAAGGCCAGCCTGAGATACACGAGGCTCTGTTTCTCCCACACAAACCCTCAGCTCTCTCAAAAGATCAAAAATCACTTGACAGGAAAAAAAAAAACCCACACACAACAAAAAAAACTCCACTCTTTCATACACACCTCCACTCTCTACAAGAACATGTGACCTTCCCTTAAGCCTGGGCTTACCAGCATCAACCTGAGAAATACTGTTTCACCCTGCTCCCTTTGTCACATCTCTAGACCATCTAAAAGCATCACACACCCTCCTCTGAAATTTCCTTTCAACTCCAGAGACATCTGAGCATTCTTATCTCACTTTTCCTCAAATACTGAGCCAAATTCTTTTTTTTTTTTTAAAGATTTATTTATTATCTATATAGTGTTCTGTCTGTATGTATGCCTGCAGGCCAGGAGAGGGCACCAGATCTCATTACAGATGGCTGTGAGCCACCATGCGGTTGCTTGGAATTGAACTCAGGACCTCTGGAAGAGCAGTCAGTGCTCTTAACCTCTGAGTCATCTCTCCAGCCCTCATCTAATTTCTTATAGACATTTTTCCATTTGCAGGTTTTAGTGGAAGATTACTGAAATTTTTGCATATTTATATTATGTCTGTAGCTGTGTGTCCTGGTTTTCCTTTACTTAACAGTCATAAGCTTTTTAATGTATTTCCTTGTATACATTTTAAGTGGCAGCATTATCTAGGGAATATATCACCATCATTTTACAATTAAACCCTTAAGATCATTCTACATATTTTGTGAATAATGCTTTTTACTATATTTAATGTCTCCCATGTCAGAAAACTCAAGTACTGTGACGCTTGATCTATATGGCCAATATAACATAACAATATATCGCTGGTTCAGTACCCCTTAAACACTGAACAGTGATTTTTTTTTTCTGTGTTAGATGACAGAACTTACAGCCTCTTCACTACAAGTTAATGCTCATATAAACACCAAGAAATGCAAATCACACAGAAGGGAGACTGGCTTCCAGTGTCTGCCTGCAGAATCAATCATGGTTTCCATGGACTCTTCTAGATACTTTTCTGTTTTTATCCAAACAAATAGTTATTTTGCTTTGTATGTTACAAAAATAGAATGAAGGCTTTGTCTTTGTTCAATAGTGCACTACAGACACCTATCCAGGGTTATTTCTTTCCAAAACCAACACACTATCCGCAGTATAGAAACATCAAACTTCCCTGTGGTTGTCTTCAGGGCCTCCTGATCTTATCAGAGCTTCACTCACATCGATGGTCACAGGAGCTGCCAGGGGTTTCTGCCAATTTGTCTACTTGTTTAGTCTAATCTTTTAAAAATTATTTTCTATACAGTATCACTGGTAAAATTTGAACAGTTCTTTAATTTTTTTCTTGTACGTATGGATGTTTTGCCTGCATGTACCATGTGCATTCCTGATACTCTAAGAGGGAAGAAACTGTACAGCTGTGAGCTGCCATGTGAGTTTCAGGAACTGAATCCAGGTCCCCTGGAAAACGTGTGTGTTTTAAAGTGCCTTTTGTTTGGGAACATAGACCCAATGACAGAGAACGTGCCTGGCACTTAGAAGGCCCTGAAGTAGATAAGTTGTTCTTCTTTCATTGAATCTCATCTATTAAAAAAAAAAAAAAAATCAAGCTACCTATTTTGGCTAGCAGTGTAAATTCACCATGAGGGCTAAGGAACAGGTTACCCCTCCAAGAGCACAGTGAAAGGTCCAGTGTTGTCTTCCCACTACAACTCTCCACCTCACACCCCACTTTCTGCACGTAGCACCTGGAGTTGTTCAAAACTCACATTTCTAACCAAGTAAAGGCCCCACCTCACCCCCCTCAGGCTACACTCTCCCCTTAACCATCATATAGTAATGCCTTAGCTCCCACAATCAGCACAACTTTCCCCCTACCCCTTCAGGCCTTCCTACACTGTAACTCTGCTGGAAAATTATTCCCTACTTCACTGACACCAGGGCTTACTCATCCATCAAATCCCAGCTTAAGTCTTGTTTTGGGGGGGATGGAGGAGTCATTTGGGGCCTCAATCTAAAATGTTATCCCTTCATTTGGAAGCAGTCTCATAGCAAGTGCTGCCTGGCTTTCCTAGCAGACAGCCTAGTCTGTGTCTATATGCACAGTTCTGAGATTAATCTCTCATCCTGTCCCTCTACAGCTTATAAACTTTAAGAGAACAAGGACAAATTGCTACAGGCACTCACATATATCTGAATGAAAAACAAAACCCCACAGCTACAAAAGGTGCTGACTGAATTGATTTTTATCTTGAAATGTTTTCCATTTCACCATTAATTAACTCAGCTGGTAAACTTTCTGATATACCTACAGACTCCAGAGTAGGAGTCCCTATTCCCGAAAGGGACTAACGGGTAATCTGAAAGCATGCAGAGGATTACAACAGGAAGTAAAGTTTAAATGACCAACTAAGAATTTAGCTAAGCAGACTGCAGACACTAACCAGTCAACTAATTAATGTGTTTTATGTTTTTAAGGAAGAGAAAAGCATTAGAAAAAAAAATGTGCCTTGTAAAATATTCATTAGAAACACAGCACTGCATTTCATAAAAATTCTAACAGGACCAAAAACTTAAAAAGTTTTAAAGTTGACTGTGATAAGTAATCTATGTTAAACTCATCTGATGAAAAAAAATGTACAAATGACATTGCAAGTTGTGGGGGCGCTATGTATCCCCGAGACTAACAAAACTAGTCTGTTTACTGCTTTACACACTAACTTTCTTCAGAGAGGTCTGTGAAGTAGACAGACCTTTACAGAAACCGAGGCTCTCAGTGTCCTCCTCGAGGGCACAGGCACAGGCATGATAAGAACAGTCTGCAAGTCCTTCAGGGAGGGCTGAGCTGCCCGAGTGTACATTTCTAACCAAGGAACTCCCCCATCAAAAATGTTTCCATTCTACAATTAGCATGGCTCTGTGGCTCCCTCCAATAAAATTCCATCTTCCCATAGGACACCACTAGGTTTTTTTTTCTTGATTTTTATGTTTTTCTTTAAAATAACTTCAAATGCCATCACTGTGAGACATGGTTGAACAAGCAATGATAGACCCAAACTCTAGAGCGCTAGGCCACTGCTCTGAGTAAACGAGTTAAAGCCTTATATGCTAAAAAGCTGAATTGCACAACTAGTTAGTACTCAACATGACGGAAAGCCCTCACACAAAATAATTTTGAAAAAATCTAGGATACGCACCACGTGCATACTGGTTAACGACGGGGACGGGCTAACGGACTTGTCATCTGTGACTACATTCACCCTTACAAGAAAACATCTTTCTCCACTCATCTACAAGCAATTTTGAAACCTTAACCTGGAAGTGGGACAAGGAGGTCACTACTTTCCTGCTCTGGGAAACTCCACACCTACCGAATAAGCAGAGGTTTCCCCTCTAGAAGGGTCCCACCCCTTTAAGACGCTACACCGTTTAAAGGGCGCACACTGTCCCCGGCGAAGAGGACTGTGACTTCCAATCCCGGGACTTCTTTGTCGCAATAGGCACACTGTAAACTCCCGGCGGGGTAGGCGCATCCCCGAGACCGACTCGCGGGGAGTCTGACCAGCAAGGTCTCACAAAGAAGCCGAGACCGCGGAGAGCGGCGACCTGGCCGGAGACGCGGAGGCCGTGGGGGAGAGGGGCACCTGGGGTTCGGCGGCGGCAAGGGAGTTGCGCGCACCACCGGCCGGCTTACCTGCGGAGAGCCGGGCCCAGGCGGTGGTCAGACAATGGAGGCGACCGGCGGCAGCAGCCAGGCTTGCTGGGGCCGCGGGGAGGTCCTCATCACCTCGGCGGGACGCTGGGCGACCTCGGCCGGGATCGTGCGGTGCTGGAAAGGACACGACACAGCGCCCTGCAGCCGGCCGCTCCGCGCCCCCCGCGCTCTGGCTTGCGCGCGGCCATTACCGCCCTCCCGGGACCCGCCTGGATCCGCTCCAGGGCGCGGCCCTCGGCTCCCAGGGCTGCCGCGCTCCCGCCCGCCTCGGCCCCGACAACAATGGGGCCCGGCCCGGGAGTCCGGCTCCCGCGGGGCCTCTCCAGCCTCGCCCCGGCCCGCCCCGGGCCTGTGCCGCAGCGGGCGCCGCGCTGACCTTCCCTTCCCGCCATGCCCGCGGCCCAGGCCCGGCTGAGAGCTGGGTTGTTTTCCTTTTCTTCACCCCCGACTCCACTGCCTTCCGCCCCCGGCCCGCTCGACGGCCCACGCCCCGTCCTGAAAAGCCGACAGACGTACACACGCACCGGCGTTGGCCGGTCCAACTCACTCTCAAGTGCGGCGGAGCAGCGCGTCTAGGCCGCGGACTCCGCGCGCCCACCGGCCCGCTCCTCGGGGGACACCTCACAGGTGCGCCTCGGAGCCCCGCTCGCGCGCGCGCGCTCCGCACACCGAGACGCCTCCGGGGGGGGGGGGGGGGGGATGCTGCAAAGATAGAGGGCGCGTGCGCACGCGCGAGGCCGGCCAGCCCCGGGGAGGGGCAGGGAGGAAAGGCGGGGCGCCGCACGCACGCGTACGTGCCTCTCGGCTTGAGTCCCCGCCCCCCCACCTCCCGCACACGCACGCGCGTTCCCGCTCGGCTTCTCCACCTCTCGTGGTCCCCCGCCCCACCCCGCCCTGGTTACCAAGGGCAACCGCAGTGCGGCCGCACCTGAGCAGTGCGCTTGCGTGTTACTAACATTTCCCCCCCCCCCGGTTTTTCCCTCCTCCTCGCCCTTGCCCCTGCCCTGCCGCAGCCGCAGGGGGCGGGGCGGTGCCCCCTTTCCCCCTCTGCGGAGATAGCATCGATCCGCCCGGCCCTCCCCTCACTAGCTGACCGCCGCCGCGTCGGCGCCGCATCCTCCCCTCGGACGGCCTCGGGTGCGAGGACCAGCCCGGCGGCCAACGGCTCCCGGCGTGCACTGCGGCGAGCGCTCTGAGGGAGCGGGCGGGATGCGCCGGCGGGGCGGTGTCTCTTGAGTCTCCGTGCCCCGCGGCAGGGCCGCTGCGCACCCGGCTCCGACCGTCCCTGCCCATGGGCCGCGGGCCACCGCGAGGAGCAGGCCGAGCGCCGCCGCAGCCGCCGGAGGGAGCGTGGCAGGTGAGGCGCGCACCTGCGCTGGTAGGCGATGGCTCGCCCGCGGGGCTGGGCGCCAGGCTGCGCACCGGCGTGGCAGGGGAGACGCGGCGCAACGGCTGCAACCGCCGGCCAGGGCGGGGGACGAGCCGCATTGCGGGTGCGGGACAGCGCCCGGGGGTCCGGCCCGACGCCGGCGGGATGCTATGGGCCTCGCCCGCCGGCCCGCCCGCGCCACACCTGCCGCCCCCCGGGCCCGCAGCCCTGGCAAGCGGGTGGCCCCGCGTAAGTCCTCCTCCCCGGGCTCTTGGAGATCCGCGGACGCGCGCGCTGGCCTCGCTCTCTGGCTGCGGCGCCCCCACTCCGGTTGAGGTCTCTTCGGGTTCTACCCGGCCCTGCGGGCTGATGTCAAGCCTCGAATTACCTTTAGCTGCGCAGTCTAGTCCACTGATGACAGTGAGGTGACCGAGGAGAAAAATGTGACCGTGCTCTGTGACAGGTGGCAACGGTCGGTTTCATAACTAAGTACAGGCTTCCAGACACCTTTCGGAGTGTTAAAGCAGCCGAGCGTGATGGCGCACGCCTTTACATTTCAGCTCTCGGGAGACAGAAGCAGGTGGATCTCCGAGTTGGGGGCCAGCCAGCCAAGGCTGCATGGTGAGACCCCGTCTTAGAGAAAAAGGAGTGTTAAAGCCAGCCGTCTTAGAGAAAAAGGAGTGTTAAAGCCAGGGTCGCTGCCTATAAACTAAGTTTGAAATTTATCTCAATAGCATTGGTAATATTAAGTTATTTATGTGCACAGACAAGAATTCCCTGGCGTTCTCTTGCCATTGAATTGTAGGGGAAAAAATGCTAGCATTCCAAATGACTTTTACCTCCAGTTTTTCATGTTTTCCTTTTGGCTAACTGTTCACCAAAATGGCTGAATATTCTAATATGTTTGGAAGAAAGGCTTTAAGACTTGGGCTTCTTGATGTGTGTATGTGTGTGTACACGTGTATAGCACTACTGAAAAACCTTAAAATAATTTGGATTGCTCCTCCTCTGTAGCATATTACAATCAGTTTCGTTTAGATTTTTCTGTTTGGGTTTGCAGTGTCTAAGATTGAACATAGGGCTCCACATAGCATAAGCAAGCTCTCTCACACTGACCTCTCGCCCCAGCCCCGGGTTAGCTATATTTTAAAGTATAGAACAATGATCTACATGGACCAGAATTTTCCTGTAACACTTAAATGTCACAAATTGATGTTCTGGCAATTATACATTTTTAACATTGACTCTCCCAAAGGAACACATGAATCCTTTTGTTTAGAACAGCTCACTCATCATCTGTCCTAGGTCAGTAAATCGATTTTAGCCTCATTATCTAATTGTCGGGATGTGTTTGCAACAGGATTGATGTTAATTACGATGATGATGCTTTTAAGAATACTTGTAAAGCATCCTCTCATATTTCTGGCAAGAAAACATGCAGAGCTTTTTTCTTCTAAAACAAGGTCAGCCATAAATAGATCCTAAATGCATACTGGGCGACACATTTATTAGCCAAGATTAACTGTCTCCTGAACTTCATATACTATGAGGGCGGTGGCGAGGCGCTCTACAGTGCCATCCATACAGAGACTGCTGCAAGTGGGAATTCCAGGCCAGCTAGGTGGCTCTGACAGTTCTTCCCAGCAGAAGTATTGGCAGGGGATAGCATGTGTCCTGATGTCTTCAGACATTTGAAGGTCTGCCATGCAGGAGTCATTTTATTGCTTTAGATTCCTGAGCAAGGAAGAAGACACTTAGTACTTACAGGAAGACAGCATCCATGCTGATGTAAAAGCAAAATTACAATAGAACTCCAGCAGTGAAAAGAAGGGGGGGCTACTCTTCCTCAGGCTTCCTCCTAGTGCAGCATGAATGACAACTCAGCTCTGGAAGGACTGGTGGGGTGTGGGTGGGGTGTTAGTGTCTCCCAGGGTTCCAGTGGCTACTGGATTCCAGGGCTTCTATGTTTTCCTCTTAGCTCTGTGGGGGTTTGTTCTTGAATGTTCTGCTGTTGGCTTCTACAGCTGTGTGCATGTTGACATCCCTAGACACCTACTTGAATCCTGGGAAGATTGTATCTGTGTTACCTGCTTGGTGCCAGAGGTGACTCAAACCCTCCTTTGCATTGTTTTGGGACCTTGGAGATAATAAAGTGCTTCCATATTAGTGTGTTATATACTCTTCCTCTGGCTTTTTTTTTGTACTGACCACCTGATCAAGAAAATTGTCTTCTCTAAGAAGGAAGAAGTCATTCTTGCTACAAATGAAGTGGTGCCATTTGTTCTTAGAGTCAGCAAGTTGTACACTACAGATGGTGAAGAGATGACTCTTGTGCTTGCTCTGTGGTTTAGTTTGTTTATTTCATTACTCAAGTATGACTTGTTTCATAACAAAACAGTCGAGTCATACCTACCTAAAGTGTTGTACTCAGTGTTTTCTGGATGATTTCTAAATATATCCAGAGTAAAACAAAACAAAAAAGTAGAGCTACTGTGAATCGAAGAGGGTGAAAAGTACTGACTTAGGGTGACTGTTGCTGTGATGAGACACCAGGACCAAGAGCAGCTTTGGGAGGACAGGGTTTATTTCACAGTTCCATATAACAGTTCATCATCCAAAGCAATGAGGACAGGAACTCAAGCAGAGCAGGAACTCGGAGGCAAGAGCTGATGCAGAAGCCATGGAAGAGTGTTGCTTGCTAACTTGCTCAGCCTACTTACTTATAGAACCCAGGACTAACAACTCAGGTGACCCCACCTACAATGGGCTGGGCCCTCCAGCATCAGTCACTAATTAAGACAGTGCCCTTCAGGCTTGCCTACTGCCCAGATTTAAAGGAGGCACTTTCTCAATTAAGGCTCCCTCCTCTCTGACCACTCTAGCTTGTGTCACGTTGACATAAAGCCAGACAGAGTAGGGGCTTTGTAATTGAAGACAGTAAAAGATGTGCCCTGTCTGTGCTGTGTCAATCTTGATGAACTGATTGACAGTGGGAATAACGTTGTCATCTTTAGAATGACCAAACTCCCAGGTGTGTGTACTGATTGGGGTTAGCACTCTAGACTGTGGCCAGAGAACCAAGCAGGTTCCTGGAGCGCAAAGATCTGAAGTGCAGCAGGATAGTCGCCAGGTCAATGGAATTAAACTCTGTTGGATACTTTGTGAGCCACCATATGGGCTCTGCCTGAGATCCGTTGTCATGGGAGTCTTTCCTGGTGGAAAGTGGCTGTTGCCTTCTCATTTGTTGTGCAGTTAGTGTTTATGAGCCTGGAAGTCCATTTTCATATTGATGTTGATTAAGGTATGTCTGCTACTACACATTGCAATTCCCAGGACTATTGTGGTCCTTGCCATCTTAAACTTGCACATTTTACCCAGAAGTGAAGAATTACACTGAAAAGGGCTACCTTTGATGTGTATGTGTGTGGGAGCCAGGGGTGGGGGTGGAGGTGCATAAAATACTGGCTTCACAAGAGAAAATTTTGTCCTGTTGTGGATGATTACCCTGGGATTGCTAATGGTTTCTAACCTAATTTCTAGTGATGGATGAAGTAGGAAGTTATGCTCATTCTGTACTCTGATATCAAAGAAGCTTATTTGAACTGTAGTCTCTCTAGCTATCACATACATCACCCTAAGCAAAAGGCACAGGGGTTATCCTTCACTAGTGACATGGTAACAAATCCACATTTGTACTTTGATGGGGAGGATAAGGAAAGCTGCAGTTAGTTTTATGTCCTTGTAGACAAGAATACAGCAGAGGTCACCAGTACTACCTGTCTTTTTTCAAGGGGTGTCAGTCTTTGTCTTTCATAGTGTGTCATCTGTTTTTTTTTTTTTTAATTGAATGCCTGTGACCAGACCAGAAACCTCCAGAAGCTGAGAGCAGCAATCTCTCAGTTTGTGGACCTGCCTATTGCTCTGGGTAAGGAGAGGTGGTCCTTTGGCCAGGGAGGAAGGATGTGTATCCTGCACCTGGCAATAGGTCTTTAAGTAAGCATACTTCCCAGGAAGAAAGTAGTCAAGGGCCGGCGAGGTGACTTTGCAGTACCCTAGCAGTACTTTACAGAAACTGAGCTCAGGCACTTGCTGCCAAGCCTGATGGCCTGATTTGGATCCCTACATCCCATATAAGAGGTCCAGCTCCCCCCACATCACCCTCTGTCTTCCGCATACCTGTCAGAGTATGTGTGCATAATATAAGTACATAAATGTAAAGTAAGTGGTTGAGGCAGTTTTTGATAGTTTATCTTGGTATCAAAGCTATGGTATTGGGGTCCAGTGAAAAGAACACCAAAGCCAGACAGGTAGGAGTGGTCTTCTGGGATGCTCTTGTGTCTTGCCCTAGAACATCATGATGAACTTTGCCCAATGGCTTTTGGGGCTCCACACATTACACTGTGTACCAGAGCTGTGTACTGAGGACTTGGACTATTGTTTGACTGCACCTGGCCACACGGGCTTCTCACAGGATGTTCATCAATGCCTTCAGCATGGTTTCTGATGACAGACAACATTATCTCACATATCGTGCCTGTAACTGAAGGGAGTGGTTAGAAGTCTCACAGCTGCCCAGCCATTTAGGTGACAGTTCTAGATTTTTGTTTGTTTGTTTTTTGTTTTCTGTCTGCCTTTGCCTTCTGAGTCCTGGGATTAAAGCCATGTGCTACCACACCTGGCAAAAGTTCTAGATTTTTATTTTATTTATTAGTTTTTTTGAGGCAGGGTTTCTCTGTGTAGCTTTGGTGCCTGTCCTGGAACTAGCTCTCATAGACCAGGCTGGTCTCGAACTCACAGAGATCCGCCTGCCACTGCCTCCTTAGTACTGGGATTAAAGGTGTGCGCCACCACTGCCCAGCTAGTTCTAGATTTTTAATTGTTGAGTTCTCATATGCAGTCCCAAGATGGGGCATCCAGATTCCCGAGTCCTGTCTCTGCAAAATGCTGCCGGGGTACTGCACATATTCCACTTTAAACTATTATTCCCC